TTCTGGTACGAGTCATGTTCTTATATGTAAAATCCAGAGCTTCACCGAGCTAGCACGGCATTAGTTCACCATGTGGTTCACTCTGAATCAACGGCGTTAACGAGCAGATAGTCATTCACGTCCAAGGAGTGGAAAAATTTCGTGATACATTCACCACCAGCTATTTCACTGCGAGTCCTGAATACCATGAATCAAGTGCAGCTCAAGTGGAAAAGTTGTGCGGACCTATTACAGAGAGGACTGCACCGTACTCATCTGCAAGATCATCGAAGAGCCGAAGCTCCGAGGGAGCAATGATACAGTCGGTTATGAGGTACACTCAACTTTGCAAGTGACCATGCGCCCAGGGAATACTTCGAGTCTCAGCGGTGAGGAATCAACAGAGCTCTTGGTCCACTTCGATACATCACGTCACGAGACAACTTTCCCAACCGACGTCAAAACCCGAGAACCACGACACATGAATTGTGTCCTCAACCGGTGGGAGAAGCTCATTACTCTTATACCTCAAGAAATCGAAAGCGAGCTCATTGACGGTGTGTACAATGGAGGTAAATTATAAAATGATATCGCAAAATCTGGCAGTGGCAGCCCAGTTTCTTTCGCAAAAACGTCAAATTGAGCCTGAAAGCTAAAATTTGTCATGGACATTCACGTCTGTTTGACCACGTAATTAGAGAGTATCATTCCAATTTCCCACAAAAAACGCCCCAGCGGTACTGAGATGGGTCAAATATTACACCCAATCAAAACTACTGAAATGGGTGACGTTGCACCCAGAGCTTGGAACAATAGCATTTTTTAAGATGGAAACAGGAATTTGCGCTAGACAAGGGATATGGGTACATTTACCATTGTTTTGGACAAAAGCATAATATGAATTTTCGTGAGCACATTTCAACGAGTTCGGTTCCTCTCAACAACGCAGACTACATCTAGCCCGTAAATACTCAGAAACACGAAGTAACTACATGTCGGGCGAGACTGCTTCGCGAATCTTTCGCTTCTTTGGGGTTCTTGCACAATCGCGGCCACGGTCGCCTCATTCCAGAGAGCTCGATTCTTTTGCAAAAAGAGCAGGTCGTCAAGCGCTCCGGGTAGAATGGATTGACGTCTATCCGAGTAAACCAACCCAACTGTGAGAACAAACGCTTGACGTCATTGAACGTCGGTGGAATCCACTCGACACCCACGTACGGCGACTCCACGGCAATCACGTCAATGTCCACAAGCGTTGCATCCGCGAATGACAGTTTCTCGTCGCTCGATTCGACGAGAAACTGTCATTCGCGGATGCAACGCTTGTGGACCTCTTCCAGCGTCTCGTTGTAGCGCAAGAATGGTATCATGGCAGCTTGCTCATCAGATGTCATAGCTTGTTCGCGCCCGCTCAAAATCTTGACGGCGCCGTTCTAAAAGCGTGGGAAGGCGACAATGCGAGCATTTAAAGCGAGGTGGCGCTCACATGAATCCGGAAACTCGGCAAGCAGTTTGTCGAAGAGCACGCGCACGTGACGAAGCGTTAGGCTGTGTTCTTGTTGTAGTTTCTTGCTGACTGATTCAAATTTCGTAAGGTTATTCAGAAGGGTGAGTAGGCGGTTTTTGTCGTCTGCGGACAAAAGGAGAGGTGCCAAGTCTTCGTCCGAGTCGTCGAGGTGTGGTGCCAGTTCCAAATAACGTTTGATCATGGCAAATGTGCTGAACCAACGGGTGGCATTACGGAGTGCCGGTATGAGTAAATCCTCCTCGCGGAGAACTGCACATTGCTTACCCGTCCTCAAACACTT